TTGTGTTTAACTACTTATTGCCTACTATCCACACTTACTATCAAAACACTAATTAAATATTGTTTTCTTGCCTCTGGCTCTTTTGTCAACACTCTGCTTGAGAGTCTCACAAGCAGAAAAGATAATTATTAGTTTTCTCATTTCTTTGAGGGAAGGTGATATTAGCCCTGTGTTACAATAAGTTTGGAAATTTTAATATTTTCACAATAGGAAGGATAGAAGTTTACTTCTGGAAATAAAGTTGTTACCTTTACTTATGATTACATTCACCAATCCTACCTAAAAACGTCTGTAAATGCTGGTGATATGGCAATAAACTCTGTGTAGGTGTCCAGGCACTGTTGGTTTGTGCTGAGTTTTGAGAGCATATGTCAGTTTCATAGAACATTGATAGGTATTAATAGGTCTAGAATTAAAGGTAATTTCTCTTGATAATCAGCAATATTTATTACAAGAGATCTGTTACATATAAATCATATACATATCTTAATTTGTCTGAGTTTTCAGCCTGATGTGGTGATGACTTTGCCTTATAAATATGTTCTCTCTTGTGGTTGAAAATAACAGCAGGGATTTATGTGATGTTTATAGAAAATGGAAGTTACACTGTTATCTTCTGATGCAGGAGTGCATGCTTGGGGTTTCTGTCTTTCCATTTTCTTAAATCCTTAGGCAGAAGTGTAGAAATATGCATAGTTTGATTGTGGATGAGCTGTGAATTAATTGCAAAGACAGAGCAGATGTATCTGGAGCTTCTGGATATTACTGTCTCAGGTTACTGAAAGTCTGAACATATGTTTCCAGTGAAGAGAGAAGCAGTGAGTAATGCTGTATTATCCTCTTCAGTATGTGTATCAGATAGGGTTCTAGGACTGAATGTGGTTACTTTTTAAATAGAGAAAACTCAATGTTTTTAAATACTGTAAATGAAAGGAATACATTTCAAAGAAAATCTACCTCACTGACCATCTCATCCATGAGAAAGAAGGTCCTTCCCTCCTGTCCTGCTTGCACATGTATTGTTGGCTTAGGCTGTCTCCATTGCTTGCATTATTTGCTGGGTCACTGAAAACATTTTTACTGCTTCAGAAACTTGGGTGGGTTTTATTGGACAGGCAACATCCCCCTGCTGCTCTCAGGAGTTTGTCCCCCCTTTCCTTTCTTTTCTGATAGTACCTGAAGAAAAGTCTTTTCCAAGATGAAATTTTACTTGAAACCTATTGCATGTGAATAAATGAGGAATATTGCAGTATGGCTAAGATTTGATGAATTTATATGTAAGCGGATTTGTGTTACATTGATAATGAAAGAAAATAGAATGTTTAAACATCCTGTGTTTATTGTAGTATTTTCTAGTGAATGGCAACCTCTTAAAGAAGAATTTTACTACTGTGGAGAAGAAGAGTTCCCGACAGAGCAAGTCCTTTGTTCTGAACTTAGATTTATATGTCTTCATATATCCCAAGGACTTCCTAGAGAATTTCTTATCACTATTGTGAAACTAATGCAAGCAAAACTCCTGTTGTTATTGTTTTGTAACCATGCTTATGGAGTATTCCAGCTCACAATGTCCTGGGATGTTTCTTCTTCCATCCTGTTTCCTATTAGCTTATTAGTCTACTTGGCTTCTTCTTAGTGTACAGTTCCTCCTGTTAACCTATTGGCCTATGCTTTGTACACAATTACATGCAGTTTTACCTCTATTACTTATACACCTCTATGAATGGATGTCTAACTGAAAAATTTAAAGGCAGTGAGCAGATTTAGGTACTGAGTATTAGAGAGCTGACAGCCTCTGGAACTTGAGAAACCTCTGATAGTTGAGTTCAATCATTTGCTGCTGGGGAGTGAGTAATTTGCTTTTGCTTCAGAAGATGCCACATTTCCCTGCTGCAACAGGCAGGTTGGGACAAGTGCACAGTGCTTGTCACAGGCTCCCATGCTCACTCTAATAAAACTTACTGTGTGGTAAATTGTTCATCTTGGTGTACTAATGAAATATTCGATACTACTTTTGTGACAAAACATTGTATATTGTCAAGGCAATAAATATTTTCTCATGGTGTTATAGAGACATTGCTGCTGATCTATCACATTTCTTGAGTTCCAGTCCTTTGCTGCCATGCAACCTGTCCTCAGGTTTCTGCATACCAAAAATGAAAACCTGAAAATGAGAGCAAAAATAACCTCTTAAATATAAACATGTTTCTCTGAATTTGTATAGGGTGTAAGATTTCTGGTCTCAGATTTTGAGAAATTTGCAACACTGTAGTAGAGAGAAAATTTCTACACACTGATTTGTGTTTCAAACTAGAAACAGTCAAAATATAAACAGCTACCTGGAGAAAAGAATGAGTGGTTAGAGTGTCATTTAAAGCTCGCAAAACATTGATGTTGATTTTTTTTCTGTAATGAATGTAATAACTAGCCTAATTCCATTTTTATTTTGCAAAATAAAAATATGTTAGTGGTTTTTTGCAAAAAGGAAATTGTCCTAAATTTATTGAAGCTTGTTTGCATCATTTATCAACTTTCTGTATCAGACTGGCTTGTCTCCTTAATGTTCTGTGTCTGTTGATGGTGTGAAAGTTGTTTTTTTTTTTTTTTATGGTGCTACAGCAAATACGGAGAAACTTTTATTATGTTGTGAATGTTTTATCAGTACAGGTCTCCAAGTTAGCTGATGTCATGGTCAGACATGGTGTGAAGAAAGGAGATCGTGTGGTCATCTACATGCCCATGATTCCACAGACAGTGTACTGTATGCTGGCTTGTGCAAGAATAGGAGCCATCCATAGCCTGATTTTTGGTGGATTTGCGTCTAAAGAGCTTTCGGTTCGCATTGATCATGCAAAGGTAATAACCTGTTTGGAACAGCAAACACCATTGCATTAGTTACTCCTCCAAGTCAATGGCACAAACCTATTAGAGTTTTTCTTCCAGGTGGGTTAACATTTTTCATTGTGTCCCATGCAATCTCAATTTGTTTATAGCACCTAATGTTGCAATCTGAACAAAGTGCTACATGTGTGCTGATGTTGATACTTACTTGTATAGCAGACACTGGGATAGAAATTTTGACCCTGTTTAAAAAAGTGTGAGTTTAACATGCTGTTTCCTGTATAGAATGTACTTTCTTCTCCCATTTTCCAATCTTTTTCTACAATGCAGCACCTTAAAACTGGCTTTTTGCCCAGCATTTTCAAGTGCATGAGGAAAATGCTGCCAACCCTAAATGGCTTACTTGATGTTTAGACATATTAGGTAGTACATTTTTTCAGCTATAATTCTACTTAATCTAATTTCTGCATGAATCAAAGCAGCTACAGAATTAGTTGCATTAAAGAAGTGACTCTGCAGAGAGCATAATTAATAGAGGTGAATGCTTTAAAGGCTTCCATGTTCGGCACAAGTTGAGCTTGTTTATGAAGCATTATGTAAGTCTGTGCAAGTGAAAATACAGATAGTACTTTAATAATCTACTTAGTAGCTTATATGGGCATATTAGTAGCTTGTGGGTGCATTACTTTCAAACCAGCTGACAATGTTTGTACTGAAACGGCCTGTTCCTGTTTTCTAATAGTGAACTAGACAGTCTGTCATCTTGATTGGTTGCTTGGATCATTCACATTATCTGTATTAGCCATTTATCACTGAATTACCTTGCTGAGACACATAAACCAAAACATGCAAGGCAAAGTCCACAGGATTTGTGGAACTTTTATATAAACCAAAACGTGCAAGGTAAAGTCCACAGGATTTGTGGAACTTTTACTCAGATTCCTGTGTACAGAAGTGTTTTTCAGGTCACCAAGGCTTGAATTTTGTGAATATCTGTAAATAGAGAGTTGAATACATTCCCTCTCCTCTCCTTGATATTTTAACAAAAAAGTTAATAAAATGGCTGAAATGGTTTGTTGGAATGATGAAAATAAGTTGGTGAAAGGCTAACAACAGCTCTGTGGTTTTTCCTGTCTTCTCACTTCCCCACTTTTTTAACAAGCTGTAAAAATTAATGTTAACTCATAAAATTAGGGAAAAATAATGTAGAAGAAAAAATTATAAACTTCTAAAAATTGAGGTTGCTACAACATGAATCATTTAGTATGTTTACGTCTAGATTATTTTTAAATTGTTAGCTAAATATCCCAATAGGTTTTCTCCAAGGAGCAAAGGGGGACAACTCACTAGCCATAATCCTTGCTTCATGCACTAAAATGAAAACAGAGAAAGTTTAAGTGTTTTACCCAAGGTCATATAGCAGGTCTTTTGAAAGGTTAGCTATAGAATTATTAGCGGCAGGTCATGAATTAGATCATAATTTACATGGCCTGTTTGTTTCTTTAGAAGGTAGAGCTAAGTATTATGGATGATTTTTGGTCCATCTGATGTATAATAAAACTGTGAGTAAAGAGGAAAGACACATCCTCAATATGATTTCAAATCAATTTAAAATCTTCCTCAATGAAAACATTATCCCATTTTGTACCATGGTAAAGCTTTCTTGATAAGTGAATTGCATACTACTGAGGTTATCTTTAAGACATGTGTATAAGTATCTGTGATAGATGGTATTTTGCTGAACTCAGAAGTTATTTAAAGCAGTCTCAAAATAACTTGACTTTTTTATTAGGCCTTTATGTGAATTGGTTTAGATGCTGCAGTACAGGACCTGATGTTGGGAAGATTAATCAGAAAGAGTTAAAGATCATAGAATCATAGAATTTTAGTGGTTGGAATGGACCTTACAGATCGTCTAGTCCCAGCTAACCCATCATCTAGTCCCAGCTACCCCCTGCCATGGTTGCTCAAGGCTACTAGACCAGGTTGCTCAAGGCCTCATCCAGTCTGGCTTTGCACACCACCAGGGCTAGGGTATCCACAACTTTCCAGTGGTGCAATGTGCAATGGAAAGCTGACTGTAAGATGCTTTTGTGGAAGAAAGGCCAAACTTCATGTTCTCTGGGAAGAGCTGAGTGAAAGAAATAACAAGCACTTTCTGTTGACTATGAAAAGGTACATACACTTTCCCAGCTTATCTTAATTTATCTTGAATTTTAAGTAGGTCTGGGAATGCTGCAAAGTCCTGTAATTGGTAATTTCTACTTGTGTCAGGTATTGGCAGTTACAGGCCTTTTGCAGTGAATCGTGATGAAGTGATATAGAACATAAGAACAAGATTTCTTTTGGTTGTTTCCTTTGCCTGAATCTGGGAATATATAATTTTCAATATTTTATGCTACAGCTCACTGTCTCTGGCACTTGTTTTCCAGCAGACCCTTGAACTTTCCTGGTTTTCCTTCAAACTAGTTTGATTTCTGTCTAATCTAACCATGCAGGACTACTTGGGGCCACAGAAGAGGTGGTAAATGGGTGTATAAAAGTAATATGGGAGCAGAGGTGCAGGGGAAATAATGTCAGTAGGCAGAAAGGTAAAGCAGTAGAAAATAGCATACAAAGCTGTTGATAAGCAGAGGTGGCATAATTTACAAATGACTGTAAAGCTTGTGATGACAACAGTCTTTCATCTTAACAATTGAATAGAACTGTGTTTATTACATTTATTACAGGTTAATTTCAGCATAGCCTTCAGATGAATTTTCAGTTTAACTGCATTGTATTTTATCATCTTTTATTAAATCAGTGCATCCTGAAAGATAAAGTTGACAAATGCTGAAATTTTAAAGCTCATCTGAAATCTGTATTTTGAATACACACCAATTAGGGAATGTCCCTGAATGGCAGATTTGAACAGGAAGCATTTTATTATTGCACAAGAAAACAATTTACTCTGTGCTTTCACTACCTAATTTAATGCAGCCTTAACTGTGGCATTGTGGTTTGTGCCTACTTAATGAGATTTATGCTAATGCATACAATTAGTAAACTAGCTTGATCAAACTGAGGGGCATAAGATAAATATGCTTTTAAAACTCCAAAAGCAAGGAGTTTGAAGACTCATTCTTCACCAATTAAAATGTGTTCTAACACATAGTTTCATTGGTGCTACCTTTTCTTCCCTGAAAACCAAAAATAAAAATACTGGTCTTGGGACTCAAGTTGAAATAGCTTATATGCAGATTTCTTGACTCAGGAATTCTTGTCAAATTAACCACAGGTTTTATGTGACAGAGATGTTAAATCCATGTTTGGAAATAGAAATTGTTCTAAAAATACCCCAGAACTGTAGCAGTCTGATTTTGAGTGGTTTTGCATCCTGAATCCTGCAACCAGCACTTGTAAGACTCTAGGTTTACTTCCCTCATGTGCCTTATGACTTTAGCTTATCCTCTTCCTCTATTTCTAATTTCCTGCCATCTCTTGTTTGCCTTCTTTTCGCTCTTTCTCCTGTTTTCTGTCCTGTGCTATTTAATTACTGGCTGGGAAAGAGCTAGCAAAGTGCTACAGCTAGTTTTGAAATATGCAGCTGAGGGCATTAGAAAGCAGGCTAAACTAGAGAGAGAATCATTGAGATCCTGGTACCAGTTTTCCTTAATGGAGAGGCTTAGATGGAGATGGATCTTTTAATCTGTGTTTGTTAATTTTTGTGCAACTTACAAGAAATTAGTATTGTTGATTTCTTACTCAAATTTGATAATCGTGAAGGTATCAGAGGTTATTAGTGTGCTTCTGAACAAGTAGCAGATGCATGGACAGCAAGATCGCACAAGCTTGATTTCCTTAGAAAACTGGTCTAAACCTGTTTCTAATTATGTGAAGACAAATTTTATACATTGGACATCACTAATCAAATAATTTAATGGAAAGCATGTTATTAGGTCATGTATCTAAAATAAATTCCAAATGTATTTATTAACAATCTAATTCTTTTTTTGTTTTTTAGCCCAAGCTTATTGTAACAGCAAGTTTTGGAGTAGAACCAAAAAGGAAAGTAGAATACATATCCCTTCTAGAAGGAGCACTGGCAAGGGTACAGACCAAACCTGATAAGGTTCTCATTTACCAGCGACCTAATTTGGTGGGTGTACAGTTGTTATGCCTTTAGGTTAACTTTCAGATGTTTATGTAGTGCATGTGCCTTTTGTTTTTTACAAGTAAAATTTTACTGTGTCTCATGTAGTTTGGATTTTAATTTTAAGGATGAACTTTATATTTTTAAGATTTAAATAGTTAATAGATTAATGCAGCAGAGAGATTACTGTACAGAAAACTGAATAGTACTGTCTAAAAGAAAATGAATAGTGCATGTTTTTTGACCTAACTCCATTTATTTCATCTGTTTTTCTTTTGACAATTTTCTTATTTTTCAATGGCCAGGGCCATGTTCCTCTTATCCAAGGTCGTGATCTTGACTGGGAAGAAGAGCTTGCAAAAGCACAGTGTTCTAAATGTGTCTCTGTTCCCTCAGACCATCCACTTTATATTCTGTATACATCTGGAACAACAGGCTTGCCCAAGGTAAACGCCTATCTGTAGTCTAAGTGTCTGTGGCCAACCTATCTGCAGTTCCACTTGAGAAAATATTTAATTAAAAAGGTTGAGAATGTTTGCCAGAACACAGTGCTATGAATGATAAGTGTTGCTAGAAATGGTTTAATCTCATTTATTCACATTTCACTACTTGAAAGTAAGTGTCCGTGAATAAATCATGTCTGTTTATTTAAATAGTAGTAATATAAAGATAAGCTGCATTTGCTTCAAAATGTTTGTGTAATACAAACCTTTGAGGACAGCAGAATGTCTATTATTGATTACTATCTTCTGTGTTTTAACTGGTTTAGATAAGCGTAGTATAGTCACTTAATGGCAAGATTAGTTAATGTATCACTTGTGTGATAGCATTTGTTGCTGACTAGTTTTGTTCATTATTTACATATTAGCTAATTTTCCTGCAGCTAAAATAGAGTGAATGGCATTACAGATTAAATGGAATTAAGCATGTTCTGAAAGCTTGTGCTACTGAACAATTCTGAGGACATAATTTCCATGAAAGTCTAGACTGATTAAGTGAAAATTAACACAGGGCATTCTTTGAAAAAGTTTGCTTTCAAATGTCAGTTAATTTTAATGATCTGGTTGTAGAGGTTTGCAATTTTAAAGTGAACTCTAGGGTATTTGCTTGGTACTTACAGTGCTCTTTTATAGTGAGTGTGGAAGACAAGCTGAGTGCAATTTTCTGGCTGTGGTCTTCAGACACTGTCACATATCCCTGGATATGACAGTGCTTAGACTACTACTAGAAAATTATTTAATGATATTGCCTATAAAGTACACAATCCATGAGGATGTGAGGGAAAACATCAGTTTTGCTGAAAAAAATGTCTTCTGCTTTTATCCTTGACACGGGTACTTCAAAGCGACATGTGAATCTTGAACTATTTCAATTGCATTGCCAAGAAGCCCAAGATAAGATCCTTTGTTGCAACTGGCATGTTCCTGGACTGTGAGTTTCAGTATAGTATCTCAGACGTAAAAGTTTTCTGAAGTTTACTTCACTGTGTTGGCTCTCCAGAGAAAAAACGTGGACACCTTGAATAAAACAGCCCTGTAAGATGGAGATTGTCAAATAATGCTAAGCTGTAATATTAAGTCAGTGAATAAAATAACTTTTTTATTCATTTAAGTAACTTAAATGGTGATGCAAGTAAAATTACTCAGTTATGACCTTCATAACAAAACGTATTAATCTCAGAGCTGGGGCTAAGTTAAAAGCTGAGTCTAACAAAACCAATCTGATGTCTGAAATTCGTGAAGTGTTAGTTAACCATTCTTTGCTTTAGCAGTTTCTGTTTTAATGAGTTAATATGTCTCTACAGTCCCTTGTTCCTTGGATGAGGCCTGAAAGTGCCTATTTCATTCCATTAAGTACTTGAAGAGAATGTACCATGCCTAGCACAGACAGATAGCTGCATCGCAATGTCTGCGCAGTGGCTATTTGTTTGGTGCAATGGATCTCATCTGAATGTTATTTGAGGACACCAGGACATAGTTTTACCTAATTCTTTCTTCTAGGAACAGTGTACTATAAAATGATGAAATGTATATTAAGCATTGCAAAATATGTCCAAAATGTTCCTGTTAATGGTGTTTCAGAGCTGGTTTTTGATTTACCAAGGTGCATGATGGTATTGATACTCTCTCATTCTAATTTTCGTTTGATTTACCAAGGTGCATGGCAGTATTGATACTCTCTCATTCTAATTTTCACATCCCTCTTTTAGACTAAGACTGGGAAGTTCTTGCATTCGTATGTGCACTAGATATTAAACTTGCAAAATATACATTGGTTTGAGCCAATCTTCTGACATCTTTATAAAGAGTCAGTGCAGAAAGGCAGGTACATTTCTGGGAGTAGTTGACCCCATTTGTTTTAGGGCTAGTCTACTTCACAGGTGTTCCTCTTTTCCAGTGATGATATAAAGAGACTAGACAATGAATTTAGAACATTCCTAGCATTTAGGTGGCACAGGTTAACTGAGGTAAATAATCTCTTATTTTTTGTCAGCTTATGTTGACTAAATATTTGTATATGCAATTCTAATGAGAGAATTCTAGTTTTATTAGTTATCATCTGAAAAATATTGTCATCTAGGCCTTTAATTGTGTTTTTAATGTTTGTTTTAGTTTATGTTTGTTTTCTAAAATTCTTTAGTGGAAATGCTAGTACAAGCATGTTCTTGTTGGAATAGATCCTTTTCTTAATTGAGGAGTGTTGGTATTAGGCAAGTCTACTCCTGCTTAAACCTGAACATTTAATTGAAGACAAGAATACCATTGTATCCTTCAAATTATCTTAAATACTCAAATTTTCTCACTTAGGGTGTTGTCAGACCAACAGGTGGCTATGCAGTTATGCTAAACTGGACAATGTCAGCTGTATACGGACTCAGACCTGGTGAGGTAATTCTATTTAAATGTCATGTAAATGTTTTTGACTGCCTCTTAAAGCTCCTCACTGTATTTATGTTTTTATTTCATTTTAGGTGTGGTGGGCAGCTTCGGATTTAGGCTGGGTTGTTGGTCATTCCTACATTTGCTATGGACCTCTTCTTCATGGGAATACTACAGTTTTGTATGAGGTATGATCCATTCTAAGCCAGCCTTGGCAAAGGCAGCATCTCCTCCAGCTGATGATCCTGTTTGTGCCTGTTTGTGACACAGATGTTTAAATAGTGTGTATATCTTCAGTGTTTATCCTGTTTACAGTAATTTCTGAGAAAAACTTACTTCACTGTTCTTCAAGCTTTTCTACTTCATCTGTGTGAGTGGTGATGGTTAGTAAGGTAAGGAATTGCAAAACAACAGACCCAGAAATGGCAGATGGTAGAATGTACCTATGTTGCTGATTAGACTACCTTTATTATGGATCTAGGAGAGGGTGTTGTGTTTTTGCATGTCTTGAGATGAAAAATACTTACTGGCTCTGGGTTGGATGCAATTGAGAGCTCTGTGGTTGGAACCAGAACTTCTAAGGAGACTTGTCTCTTCTTTCTTCCCTCTACCACTCAAGGCAACTGAAGCCAAGACTCAGATGACATTCAGGGCTTAGTCCTTCTACCTGGGAGATGAAACACAGGATGGACAGGAGATTACTCCAATTAGAGTGGCCTACTGCATCCTAACTTTGGTGCTCAAAAAGCAATCATGCTGCCTTACATTATTATTTTTTTGGAAGTTATTGTTGATTCTCTCACTAATCACCAGGCAAGAAGATACAGTGTTGCATGAGGCATCTTCATTGTTCTTCAGGGAGTGAAGTATCCATCAGTAGTAGTGAAAGACATTTTTTTTGTGAAAGCACCGACATTGTTAGCTCTTAAGCATGCTGAGATTTGGTTGTCTGCATTCACTTGACATTAAGAATTCTGGGTATATCCCATCTTCTCTGACACTGTGGAGCATGATGCCCACCTAGTAATTGTTTTGTCTTTCAGTGGTCCTAGAGGCAGAAGTTGTTTGATCTCTGCTATTGTGGCATGCTGATAACCTCTGTTGAATTGTAGTGATAATATGAAACGTGAACCACTAAGAGAAATCCAGAGGTAACTCAGAACATGCAGAAGTATAGTGAATGTACTGGATACTGAGGGTATGAAAAAGCACATGAAACAGGCTTTGGCAACATTGTAAATATAGCAATTGTTAGAGTACCATCTGTACCCAGCCCTTCTGAAGCAGGGGAGTCAGCATGATGTGGTGGAAACATACTGTTTTACAGACTATCATACGTGCAGAAGTTCTTTTTAAGGAAATGGATAGTACAAGTAAACTTTCTCCATCTTCCTATTATTATATTGTAGAAGTGAAAATGACCGTACTAGAACAGAAATAGATTGTTACAGTTTTCATAAACAAGCATTAACAAAACAATCCTTTGGTGTTTGCACAACCAGTTAAGTTGGTATTGGTTGAGATCTGCTTCACTGTAATGAACTCATACACTTCTGTTGGTGGCCAGCTGGTGCTGGGTTTGTTCCTGATTTTTGAGTAAATATGTTTCTGAATCCTGGATACTGAAAAAGCATGGACAGTGGTAGTAAGGTGAGATTGCCTCTAAAGTTGTTTGAATGCTGTGGTGCATCAGAGACTACAGAACTGACTATGGCTTGCTGCATCCTGTTTTGGAAGTTAGAAGTATGCTTTACTGCTCGAAGTTCAATCTCTTTATAAACTTATAAGAGAGATTCTTACAAGCAGAAGATGCTTAAAGTCCAGAAAAGCAGTGGTCATTAAGGGTGTATCTACCTGATATTTGAAATCACAGCATCAGCACAATTCTGAAGTCAGTCCTCTGATTTCCTTGCTTATTGATTTGGTTCACAGAGTGGCTTTAGTCACATGAATACCATCTTTATAGAGAAAGCTAAGACTGAAACTTTGCTGCTTGGGATCACATGGTAGTATCCAATGAGTGGGACTGCACTGCTGTGAAGTTTTCCAGGACAAGTGAAAAGCACATATGCCAACAGAAAGCTTTTAAATAGTCAAGAGCTCCCACCTTATTCTGAAGTACTTCGTGTGGTATGCAAAAGGGCCAAAAGCTATGTGCAACTTCATATTTACTAATGACCATCAGGTGGTTGTTGGCAATATATTATCTCTTTCTCTGCTGCAAGTCACACTTAGGAAAGGTCTTAAAGGGAAAGACATGGCAGGCTGCAGTCAGGCATAATTGAATTAGCCAGGTTTTTGGATTGAGTGGATTGAATAAAGAATGGGAGTATGTGAAGCACACAAAGTGGGGAAAGAAAAACTGAGGACAGAGAGAAGTATTGGGGATCAGTTCTTTTTTATCATTGCATAACATTTGCCAGTTTGCAAGACATTGATGCCCAGTGGTATTCCTCCCATTCCATTCCATGCTCTCCCGATTGCTCAGTAAACTGATGACTGTTTTCACTTAAAGAGGGAAGTCCTGACACAAGTGCATTGTTGAATGCCCCACCCATGACAAAGAGAGCAGATAACTGTGCATACAGGTGCTGCAGAAGCTGTGATCAGTGTTTCAGTCTGAAGGACATCTCAAAGATGTCCTCACTGCTGGTTCAGACTAAAAGTGATACCCTGAATTTGCGAAGTATAAGAAACATTTGCACAGTGTCTGTCCCCCATAGCCTAGTGTCTTTCAGATGACCAAATGTAGATTGTGGTTGCATTGTGTGTTCAGTAAAAGCACAATTAAATTAGGACTGTGCTGTGTTGTTGTCAGAGTACACATATGCAGCAGCACTTATGTTGGTCATTGGCATTGAGGACATCATGAATGATCCTGTGACTTCTTGGCAAGAAGGCACTGGCATATGTTTTAGTTTTGTAACCAGAGTAATGGAAGATTGGGGATGTAGAAACTATGGTGGAGTCTACTGATGATGTGTGAACTGACATGCTACTGTCATCTGCATGAAACAAATTAAAGGGACAGCTTGACACTTCCTAGAAGAGAAGTCACTTCAGTCAAGAGAGCAAAGATCTGTAGGACAGCTTTCCATCAGAAGACTTTGAGCTGTATTTTTGGTGCAATGAGCAAGGCTAAGTCTAGTCTAAAATAAACCTCAAAGAACATCTAATGGAAGAGGTAAAGAGCTTTGGCATAAAATGGTTTGATCTACTAATCTGCTCTAATTCACCTCACGATTTGCTATGTAAACAAAGTGTGACACCATATGTGCTCCTGTTCATTTTACATGCTATTATTTCACATTTTTGCCAGTACATATAGTAGGAAGAAGATTGATATCTCTCATACTACAGCAGATTGTGCCTAGGTGGCACCTGTATACGTTGCTTTGTACAAAATGCTGTCGTTTATAATTTTTGTAATAGAAAAATGTAAAATAAGAAACAAAATGTAATGTTTAAAAGCAAAGCAAATTTTGCAGTCTTAGAAATGTGTTTTGGAATGTGTGCCTGTCTTCATGGTTATGTTCTAACTTCGTGGTTGAATTTTAAAACTGGTAACTTTTTCTTCTGTTCATGGAAAGACTGTGAGTAGTGTGTTATTCTATGAAATTGAAAATAAGCATTCGTCAGGATGTTTTTCTTCACATAATTTTATGTTCTGTAGGATCTCAGGCAAATAACTTTGGTTTTTTGTCTTCTAGGCAGTGCATTGATTTTTCAGTAATGCCTGAGAAAAGCACATTTGCAAAACAACTATTTTTATTAAAGTACACAGATGATAACAAGTACCAGGGTTTTTTTCCCCCTAAACAGCCAAGACAGAGAAGCTCACATGCCTTAATGCATGTCAGTAGTTGTAGCAGCTGGAGAAAACTTAAATGGTTATTCTTAATTTGAATCTCACTGTACCTTCTGTCCAGATAAATTTTACTGATTTGCTTACATTCAGTGCCAAGCATGAAAGCTTGCAATGCTTTATTGAAATACATGATGCAGAGAATATCTGCAGTGTAACTATGGCAATGAAAATCAGGCATTCATGTATTGCTTATGACTTGCTCTTTTTCTGATGAGTTTACAGTGTACTAATCTGGTGGAATCCATTCAGTTCTCCGAATTTACAAACCACCTCACAGTGGAACTTCTGAATCCTTTTCAGTCAATGTCAAGTGGCAACTTGCTGATTGAGGGAGTGATGCTTCATTCTTAGTGCACATACAAGTTCTGAAAGACGTTAGGAAGTAAGGTGTTTTTCTAGGCATTTCAAGTTAAAGTAATCAAGTAGTTTTTAAAATAGGGCAGAAGGTACTTGTTTAAAAGCAATAGGACAAAATACTAGGAAAACAACAACAACAACAACAAATAATTCAAAAGCAGCAAGTGAGAGAATATGTTAAACTCATAAGGTAGACTTTTGCAGAAAGGATTCCTAGGTAACTAAATGCATCTTAATGTGGAAAAGGGATTAGAGGAAATTTACCTCAGTTCATGGGTTCAAATACATACATTTGTATGGATGGATAAAAATGTCCAGAAGAACAAGCACTGTATACTTGTATTATTGAGTTTGAAAAATACCTCCAGATGCAGAGGTGGATTTGTGACATTTTGTAGAGCATGTGTACACACTGTACTGCTGTCTTATACCTTCTGCTGAGCTCAGAGGTCAGGCATGTCAGATTACTCCTGTGTGTTGTTTGTTTATGTAGTGCAAGCATGGATACATCTCTGAGAACTCCTAAAGGTCCACTAAATAATTAGAGGATTGATATTAACGTCTTCAGTTAACTCATGTGGGCTCTCAACTACTTGTGGAAGAAAGAGATCATGACAATGTTCTTTCTATTGCTTATAGAAAGATCATTTTCCTATGAAGAAGAGAAATGGTCTGAACACTTTGCTGCATTATTGTGGTGGCAGAAGAGACCATTGTGAACAAGAGAAACAGGATTTGGCTCTAAAAATGGCTTTGCATACTGAGATATTCAGTGGTCTTTTTTTCACATGCATTTTCCTGAGGTGAAAGGGTGAGGAAGAACAGTTTGTGTGCTACACTAAATCCAATAGTACTCCATTTGTCTATCTCCTCACTGGTGGTAACAATTCTTGCTGTTACATCTTTGTAGTATGAAAATACCCTGTGAAATCTTTGGAAATTCAGTATCTTTAAGTGAAAAAT